CCCTTGAAAGCCTATTCCAGTGCTTAACTAATCCTTCTAGTCAGAAACTTTTTTCCAAATATTGAACCTAAATCTCCCTTGCTGCAGATCCCTGTCCTCTTTATAACAGCCCCTAACCTATTTGAAGACTGTTGTCAGGTCCCTCCTCGGTCTTCTTTTCTCAAGACTAAACATGCCCAGTTTTATTAGGGTACGTCTATACCCAGCCGCTAGTTCGGCGGCTGGCAATAGAACTTCTGGGTTCGACTTATCGCGTCTTGTCTGGACGCGATAAGTTGAACCCGGAAGTGCTCGCCGTCGACTGTGGTACTCCTGCTCGGCGAGAGGAGTACCACGGAGTCGACGGGGGAGCCTGCCTGCCGCGTGTGGACCGAGGTAAGATCGAACTAAGGTACTTCGAACTTCAGCTACGTTATTCACGTAGCTGAAGTTGCGTACCTTAGTTCGATTTGGGGGGTTAGTGTAGACCAAGCCTTAGTCTCTCCACAGAGGTCAGTGTAGCCAATGATTTTAGTTTATTGTTTCTTTATTGTGTGAGGCTATGATTAACTAACATATTATGTCATATATAATCTCTGTATGCGAAATAGAGTTAAATTGTAGGATTATAGAAGTATAAGATTGATCAGTAGTTACGAGGGATAATTATGTATTAGGTATCTAAGTAAGTAAGGATGACATGCAAGGCCTACAGGCTGAGGCCTTTAAGATTTTAGCTTAGCCATACTAGAACATATGTCAAGCATTTTTTAAGCCTAAGTAAGTGACCAAAGAATGACCCTATGCCACAAGATTACGGGAAAAGATGTACCAATGGGGGATACTGCTAATTTTTCGCAATAAGAATAATTTTCTGCTTACAAGATACCCAGTAGTCACATTTTTCAAACACATGCCCTAACCCCAAGGTGCACTATGGGCATAAATGCTAATGAGATGTAGTCAGAATCACATTATAAAAAGAGGGTGTCCAGATTAGGAAAATTGAGCTCCTGAAGGAAAACTCCAGCAGGAACCATCCCTCTACTGATGATCAATTGGGAAGGCAGCCATTAGAGCTTAAGAATATCATTAAGATGTGAGTATGACTATCTGTATAACTTGTGCATAGGTTTTATAGAATTTCTATATGCTTGGGTAATCATAACTTTAATTGTAACTTGAATAAAACTTGTAAAACAGACTAGACCTTGTACTTGTAAATGTCTGCGTGGTCACTATCCTTGGTCTTTATGTGTTCCTAGAGATTCTAAATCTGAAATAAGTAGCAGAGGTGACTTTCACTCTGCTGAGCTTGGAACTGTAGCCACCAGAGCCGAACCCACGATGGTGTACTCCAACATTACAAAATTCACTTTAAAGAAGATAAAAGGCGACATCAGGTTTTCTAAACCTTTCATAATTTTTGTTGCTCTCCTCTGGACTCTCTCCAGTTTCTCCACATCTTTCTTAAAGGCTGACACCCAGAACTGGACACAGTACTCCAGCTGAGGCCTCACCGGGGCCAACTAGAGCACAACAGTCACCTCCCATGTCTTACACACAACAGTCCTTTAATACAACCCAGAATGACCTTAGCCTTTTCAGCAACTGTGTCACATTGTTGCCTCATATTCAATTTGTAATCCACTATACCCCCAGATCCTTTCCAGCAGTACTACCACCTAGCCCAGGGGTCGGCAAGCTATGGCACGTGTGCCAAAGACGGCACGCGAGTGGATTTTTAATGGCACACTGCGGCTGCCGCTGGCTCCGCTCAGCCCGCTGCCAAACCCCAACAGTGGGCTGAGCGGGGCCGACAGCAGGGACCCCGGCAGGCAGCAGCGTGCCATTAAAAATCCTGCCCGGCCCAGCCCGCTCTTCTCCGCCCCCCGCCTACCACTCTCTCTGGCGGGGGCAGGGGACAGAAGCAAGCTTGGTCCTGCCGGCTGCTGCTGTAGGGCAGGCTCTGCCGGCAGCCAAGCTTCCCTCTCCCCCATCTCTTCCCCCAGCGTGCTGCGTCATGCCCCGCCTCCTCTCCTTCCCTGCCGCCGATGGCCCTTGTGAGGGAGGGGAGAAGAGGAGACCCAGGGCCCTCGCTGCTCAGACCGGGAAGGAGGCGGAGAAGAGGCAGGGGCGGGGCCTTGGGGAAAGGGGGTGGAATCAGGACGTATCCCTCCAGCCCTCTGCCGTGAGCTGCTCAGGGCAGGGGGCTGGGAGCACCCCTCCAATCCCAGCCCACCCCCCAGCCCTCTGCCCTGGCCCCTGCACCCCCCTCACACCCCAGCCCCCTGCACCCTCCCCCATGACCCCAGCCCTGACTCTGGCACTCCCCACACATACCCAGCCCCCCCACACCCCAGGCCCTGACTCCTGCACCCCTCACACGCCCCCAGCCCTCTGCCCTGACTCCTGCACCCTCCTCACACACATCCTGCCCTGACTCCTGCACTCCCCACACATACCCAGCCCCCCCACATCCCCTGCCCTTACTCCTGCACTCCCCACACGTACCCAGCCCCCCCACACCCAATGCCCTGACTCTTGCACCCCCCACATCTCCACCCCCCACCCTGAGCACCAAATGGGAGCTCCTGCACCCCCCCACACATTCCCACCTGCACCCCTCACACCAAATGGGAGCTGCCCAGGTAAGTGCTCCACACCCAAACCTCCTGCCCCAACCCTGAGCCCCCTCCCTCATTCTAGCTCCTGGCCAGACCCTGAACCCCCAGCCGTGTACTCAGTGCTCCCCCACCCTCAGCTCAGTGCAGAGAGAGAGGAAGAGAATGGGCCAGAACCAGGGAGAAGGTAGGTACCCACTCTATGTGGGCAGGGCCGGGACCCCAGACTGGCAGCGGGCTGAGCGGGGCCTGCGGCCGGGACCCTGGCTGGTAGGAGCAAGTGGACAGAACCCCAGACCGGCAGCATTTTAATTTAATTTTAAATGAAGCTTCTTAAACATTTTGAAAACCTTGTTTACTTTACATACAACAGTAGTTTAGTTATAAAATATATAGACTTATAGAGAGAGACCTTCTAAAAAACGTTAAAATGTATTACCGGCATGCGAAACCTTAAATTAAAGTGAATAAATGAAGACTCGGCACACCACTTCTGAAAGGTTGCCGACCCCTGGCCTAGCCAGTTATCCCCCATTTTGTAGCTATGCATTTGAGTTTTAAGTTCAGAAATCTCCTGTAAATGAAAAGCAAAAGATCTGTAGTAGAAAGAGAACAAAGCATATAAAGTACTAAGGGAGTAAATTAGGCCGTCATCAGTAAACATCAGCATAAAATGTTCAGAAATGAACTCGGGGACAATCCAAATGCTACCGCAGGGGGTTAGCTGCAGGTTGACCTAGTGCAGGCCCTCATAACAACCCGGGGCAGTGGAGGACCTGTGATTCTGTACAGTATTAGAGCAAGTCTCAGGAGCTCTGAATGCTGAGTGAGACATACTGAGCCTGCGTCAAACAGTTCCCACTGCAAACAATATCAATTGTATGACCAACTAGGGAAGGGGAGTTGTAGCTCCCCCTCCCCCCCCCCAGCAAAACAAAATACATGTTTTATCAGCCAGGTGGGAAGCAGCGAAGATGCAGCTCCATAGGAAACAGTTGGCTATGAATTGGCAATAATTTCTATAACAGGAAAGGTTACAATTTGACCCCCACAGGATGACTAGCAGAGATGCTGCTGGAGTCCCACTGAAAGAGGTAGCTCTCCTCTCCCCTGAAAAGGCTTATGACAGCATGCCAATGTTTCCTTTCTTTATGACCGTGGAGATTTTGGGATTACCAGGAGAAAATATAGATATATACAATAATTTGCAGAATACAATAAGCAGCAGAGTGACAAAGGGGAGCTGGATCAGCGGTAAATTAGATAGTCTATGCACTGCCTTCCTTTCCAATTTAGCGTGGAAAAAGGGAGGGTGGGGATTGCAGGGTAGTAAATCTCCTTTCTGGGTGTTTATTACTTGCACAGGGAGAAAATTACAGAGATGAGTAGCTTGTTAAGGAAGATGGCGGCTGAGCAAGGGTAAGCATGACAATGTAGGTGACCAGATAGTTCTGAGCCTGGGTAACAGGGTGTGGTTAACAGAGGTTTTTCAAAGCGTTGCAAGAGACTGACACTGGTGGGAATAAGTTCCAGGCCACACTGGGTAAAGACCTCAAATTAACAGAAAGGGAGGGAAGAAATAAGGTTGATTTAGCTGCCAGGAGAAGAATTAGTTTATTCATTCCATGGAGCAGCCAGCAAATCCTGAGGGATGCTGGGCCCCGTTTCCCATCCAGGAGCTCAACAATGCCGGGGACTTGGCCCTAAGGCAGGGGATGAGGCACTTTCAAGTCCTGCTCAGGCCAGACTTGGCACCCACTCCTGCGCAAACAGACCCAGCGATGACACCTCGCAGACCAGCCACATTTCACATTTTAAATTAAAATCCACAGCAAGTTATGCCTCGGATTGGTTTTAACCTATTCTAGCCCCACAGAGACGGAACATTCCACACGCTCGAATTCTCTGGCCTGTGTTACGCAGTACATCATCTGATGGTCCCTTCCAACCTTAAAAATCGATGCATCTATGAACTATCAAGTTCCACCAGCTGCTTCTGTTTCCCACTGCCTGGCTAGGTTCACTCCATGCCTCACCAGCTGTGCTCCTCCCAGGGCCGTTCTAACTCATGTCAGCAGGAACTGTTCTCTAGGGATCCCGGCCATGCCTGCGCCCATCCCCACCCACTTGGAATGCCATCTAGGAGGCGATGTGGATTTATGCCAACTTTACATCACTGGGGGATTCCCTGCTGCATGGGAGTCCCAAGCTGCAGCTTCATCTCCCCTTTAGGGCAAAGCAACAAGGACTTAGCCTGGACCAAGACGATGGTTTTGATCCCAATGGAGCGAATGTAACTGCACCTTACTTATTTTTTCAGGCCTGCGTTGGAAATCTTTTCCCTGCTGCCCTTCCCACTGCCGACACGCACATTTCTGCAACGAACGGAAACAATACCTGCTCTAGGTCTTCTGCTGGTCTTTTGTTTTCTCCCGTGGCCTCTTGATACGGTAAAATGAAGAGCTCAGCGGATGTGGGCAAACCAGGCAGGACTGCGACCAGGATATGTTTGTTTGAAATACTTGTTGCCTGGTTATGTAGACAAACAGCGATAGGTGAATTGTAGTGATAGCCCGGAATGCCGAAGATTTGTGTGTTAAAGCACCACAGTACATACATTCAGGTATCTGCCGGTGATGGTGAAAGTCAGCGGGGCCTATTGGCATTCTATTGTATTCTTGTTTTGTCTGAGCTTTAAACCATGCTCTTCAATATGGTACGCGAGCCCCCAAAGGCACTGATTATAACCAGACGTACGAAAGGCAGGTGCTGAGTAACTTTGCACACACTCTGCAGTTCTGACCCAGAGCATCTCCTACTGTGCCTGTCCTGGGTCAGCATGTTCTAGAGATGCTGAAATAATTGGAGCTTTGGTAATGAGGCAGAGTGCAAATAAACTCATTTTTCCTTATTGTTCCCTCCGGCGGGGTTGACTGTCTAGGTCTCCTGATGTGGGCGGGTGAGAAACGTAATCGTGCATTTATTATTGCAATCCCATTGGACACCATTATTTTCTCTCTTGTTGTGGAAAAATGACCACGCATTGTGTTTGGATCAGAATCGCCTGAGGCCTTTTTATTTTCATGCATGCATGGGGGGTACTAGTGAACTAGCAATCCCCCTGATTACAGAATTTTGCACAGCTTATATAGCATAAACAAGAACATATTCATAAGAACAGCATTTGGGCATGCTAATAAAATCAATCTGAATATTCACAAAGGGTCCCCAAGGGGCGGGATGTCCAGCAAGTCTGGTTCTTACCGGTTTGCCACTGTTGTGGGCTAGACAGGTAGAACAAGAGTTACAATACTGTTGAGCCATTATAGGAAAATTTGGGGCATACCAATGCTGCAATACTGATGCAATCATTCCCCCTTTGCTTACGTGAGCCATACCATGGGCCACACGTGCAAGATAGGGGAGTAAAGTATTGGATGCAGGGCTAATGAAATTTTGTTATCTTTATTGAATGACTAAAGGACAGCAGAACTGTGCAATATGTGGCCTGATTGAGAGGGTCGCCCTAACTTGAACTTCACTCACTAAGCACGGGGTAATAATGCCACAGCCAAGTGTGTCAAGGAGGAGGGTTGCAGATTCCATTTAAACAGTATTAGGGTATTTCTACAAACCAAAAAATGTAGCAGCATGTCTCAGAGACCAAGTTAACTAACTGATTAGTTTATTCATGTTGCTGACCAATAGCCGAATAGATGTTCATGTTCAGGCTGGAGTCTGGGCTCTGGAACCCAAGTGAGAAGGGAGGGTTTCAGAGGCTGGGCTCCACCCCAAGTGGGAACATCTACACTGCCATGTTTAATCCTGTAGCGCAAGCCCTCCAGCATTTAAAGACAGAGCCGAGCAGACTCAACTGAGAGTCTCTGTTTCTTCTCAGTGATCACTAGAACTGAAATTGCCAATAAATTGGTCTAGGGGGCTGAGTCTTAGACCTGGTGTGGGGCCAGTGTTTCAGTGAAAGAACACAGGGGTGGCACAGCAGTGAGGCTCCGCACGACCCAGTGAAATCACTAAGAACTGGCCTAGGTGATGGAACCCTCAGCACACAGCATTGCCGCTAAAGGCAACGGCAGAATAGCAGCAGCAGTGGAAGCATTAACTGACCCCCCCCCCCTCCTCTGCCACATCCACCCACCCCATAGAATCCACCTGCACCTACAACTGGACTCTAAGGACTTTGCTGACCCCAGTCAACAAACAGTGAGTGTGGTGCAGTGAAGGGAGAGGGGACAGTCATATATTGGACTTTTACACCGCAAGGAGGGAAACGGGCAAAGGATTACTGCCCAACATAGAGGGTTTACTTATAGTTTGCACACTTTTGAGCCACTGGTAAGGTGATTTCCCAAATTAATGCTGTTGCTTCTCCTCTCCTTAGATAAAACAGTTGTAACAGCTTGTTACAAACAGATTCAGTGCTTGCGAGTGGGGAAGTGTTGCCTCTTAGGCTACGTCTACACGGTGAGGTAGGGGTGTGATTCCCCTGCTCGTCTACACAGCTTGATGACAGCTAGCACTAGTACACCTCTACCCCGATATAACGCGACCCGATATAACACGAATTCGGATATAACGCGGTAAAGCAGTGCTCCGGGGCGGCGGGGCTGCGCACTCCAGCGGATCAAAGCAAGTTCGATATAACGCAGTTTCACCTATAACGTGGTAAGATTTTTTGGCCCCCCGAGGACAGCGTTATATCGAGGTAGAGGTGTATATAGAGCAGCGTATGTGTACACGAGCAGGGGAAATCACACCCCTAGCTCATAGTGTAGATGTAGCCTTACAGGCACCCAGGGTGGGGTTTAGTTCAGTGGTTCTCAACCTGGGGTACGGGGCCAGTGGTACACAGAGGTCTTCCGGGG